TGTGTGTGTGTGTGTGTGTGTGTGTGTGTGTGTGTGTGTGTGTATTTCTGTTTTAAAAGTTGTTTGTGAATGATCTGAAGCCCTGGCAAAGGATGAATCTAAATTGGGCTCTTCTGACTCCCTGGTACAATGTCTGACACATGCAAAACACCCAGTAAACCACTAATTGACGGAGAGGACAGAGAATTGTGTAGTTCAAGCGTTGTGCTTCCCAGTCTGCGAAGCTGCAAATTCTATCTATTGTCTTAAAGGAATTACACTCATATTTTAACTCTTTAGGAGCCCTGGTGTCACAGTGGTTAGTGCTTGGCTGCTAACCAAAAGATCAGCAGTTTGAATCCACCAGCTGCTCCTTGGAAATCCTATGGGGCAGTTCTGCTCTACCCTACACGGTCGCTATGAGTCAGAATCGACTTGACAGCAATGGGTTTGTTTTTTTGGTTTTGGGTTTAACTCCTTAAATTGTTATAGCTAGAACCTGATGTAAGATCTACCATATTTCCACAGCTTAAAACATTTTAAAACCTTCTCTATTTATGAACATGAAATCAATCATAGATCACAACTAAGGATAGCATTTGAGGCTCAAAAGAGGTATACTTGGGATAAATACTTTATGTAGCTTGTAGCAAATTTAGGAGCTCATTCTTAAAATAAGCTATGAACATTAATAGTTAAAATTGATGGATAAGCTATCCTAGGTGTTTCAGGAGAACATAGAATGTCAGGGGAGCATTTCTGATCTGTGTTTTGATGTCAGGAAAGAAAACTGTCTTCTCCAAAATGTCAGGTACTGTTAAAAATCAGTTGCCGTCAAGTCGATTCTGACTCATGGCAACCCCATGTTGTCAGAGTAGAATGCTCCATAGTGTTTTTAGTGGCTGATCTCTTGGAAGCAGATCACCAGGCCTTTGTTTCAAGGCACCTCTGGGTGGCCTGGAACTGCAAACCTTTCAGTAAGCAGCCCAGCATGTTTGTGCCACCCAAGGTGTCAGGTTGTTGGTACTAATGTCAGAAACAGAGGCCTAGCCTGAATGGGCTTTGGGTATGACCATGTGTCAGCTCACCGAATCTCCTCTTCTTGAACCTTGACTGTCAAAGTGTTTTTTGTTTGTTTTTAGTGATGTCTGATCCTATAACCAAATGTGATACCAAAAGGGAAATGTGTCTAGATTAGTTGTTTTCTCAGTCTCGTGGGTGAAGCACAGCCCACATTTTGTCATCCAAGGGCTTTGTTTGTACTCCCTACTTCTGATTTTTGCCAGCTACAGCTAACAAATCTTTATCACCTTCATGTTAGAAACCAGGTTTTACTATAGTTTCTTTTCCTTTCCTAACACATTTATTTTAAAGTAATAATCTTTGAATTTGCTACACAGATAAAGGTGACAAGAGAGTCTCTGATCTAATAGTTCCATTTTTTCATATTGATGCTAATTTGTTTTTCAAACTTTGTTTTCTTTCCCATTTCTTTAAAGGCCAAAAAGAAAGGAGCCAGCAATACAGTTATTGGTATAATCTTTGGATGTTATGCTTTGTTTAAATTGCTGGCGTCTTTGGTATTTGGAAAATATGTAAGTGTTAAGGTTTATGTACACATTTAGATTTTTAAAAAACTGTGTAATAAGTTATTTCAATTTACTGATCTAGAATTTTCATTGATATGAAAATAGCCACCATTCTATTTTATGGATTGTGCTACTGTTGACAGTTTTGTCCTCAGAGTTGATTGATTTTTAACTTCTCCCGTGTTTGTAAACAATGTATATTGTCATTCCATAAAGATGTTTGAATTTCATGTGAAAAGCATGAGTTATGCAAGCTGGTTGTGCGGAGTTCTTGTATTCACAGCCCTGGTCAGAGATGGTTTTAATCAGATAAATAACTATGTCTGGAGTTGAACTGAATTATTATATATTATATAACAGTTGAATTATTATGTATTATCCTAACTGTGTAAGCCTTCTCAAAGTCCTGTATTTCCTGACACAGTGGATGTTTCTGTCAATACAGACTTGTAGCAGTCATCAATTTACCACTCTTTTTTGATATTTATTATAGCTTATACATATTGGAGCAAAGTTTATGTTTGTAACAGGAATGTTTGTCTCAGGAGGAGTTACAATTCTCTTTGGGTAAGTCATGTTCGGATGTGTTGGGGAGCTTGAACAGATTTCAGAATCTGTCTTTGGTTTGAAATATTAATGGCTTCTTTAAATCAGTCAGTACCACTGACTGTCAGTTGAGCGCGTTGCCTGTGCTAGAGACTAGTAGCAAAGGGAGTCAGGTGATGTAGAGAATGGGGACGAATATCACGGATCTTAAGGGAAGAGTCCTCCAGGGGATCACAGTTAAGCTGGCTACTGAATCTGTTTATCAGGACCCTGGTGATTGTGACTGACAGAAAATGGCGTATGCAAAAAGGTGACTTTCTTACCTAAAGAATCACCTGAAGAACATCAAAATACACATATTGAAAGGATATCATCAAATATCTCTCCCAACTTCTTGGGTTTGCTTTCCTGTTTGTGTGCTTTGTTCTTGGGCAAGCTCTTCCCTTGTGGTGACAATATGGTCCCCAGTAACGCTAGTGAAAAGAGAGTGTCACCTTCCTAACAGCCCTATTAGAGTCCCAGGATGAAGCCCACTTGCTAATCTCAGCTGATGGCCTATCCCTCATCTGCTGCAGTGGCCAGGGGGAGAGAATGCTCTGATTGGCCAGGCCGTGGTCATGTGCCCAATTCTGAATGTAGGGTGGGATGGTTCTGCCGTTTCCAGAAGAGGGAAAGCCAGTGCCAGAGGAAAAACAGCTATGGAGGAGCTTAAACTTAGAGTTCCTTAAACCATCAGCCTAGTGGCAGATTATATAGAAGAACTTAAGTACTTGGAGGAACATAGAAGAATGATCAGAGTATAGTGAGATTATGAATTAAACTCAGTAAATCCTTCATACCTTTTACCATCAAGTTGATTTTGATGGTTAACAACCCTATAGGACAGAGTAGAACTGCTCCATAACGTTTCCAAGGATTGGCTGGTAGATTCGGACTGCCAACCTTTTGGTTAGCAGCTATAACTCTTAACCACTGCGCCACCAGGCCTCCAAATCCGTCATATCAAACACACTTTAGATGGGTGTTTTCTTTTTAATTTTTTTTGAAGGAATCTTCTATTTTTTGCATTCATTCTTTTTCTGAAATTTTGATCCCTGTTGTGGAAACTGGGATCATTCTAGGTCCTTCTTTCTGTGTAGATTCTCGTCAATGTGATTCTACATATTCCAACAAGGCCTATTTAGTTGCTGTTGTTTTTAGTTGCTGTCGAGTCAATTCCAACTCATGCTGACCCTATACGTGCAGAGTAGAACTGAACTCCATAGGGTTTTCAAGGCTGTGACCTTTCAGAATCAGATTGCTAGGCCTTACTTCTGAGGTATATCTGGATAAGTTTGAACAGCCAACCTTTTGGTTAGTAATCCAGCACTTGACCATTTGTGCTACCCAGGGACTCCTACAAGCTCTATTTTTTATTATCATCCAGGGGACTATCTTAGTCATCTAGTGCTGCTATAACAGAAATACCAAAAGTGGATGGCTTTAATAAACAGAAATTTATTTTTTCACAGTTTAGGAGGCTAGAAGTCTGAATTCAGGATGCTGGCTCTAGGGAAGGCCTTTCTCTCTCCATTGCTCTGGAGATGGTCCTTGTCTCTGAGTTTCTGTTCCTGGGTGGATCTTCCTGTGGCCTGCCATCTCTCTACCCCCATCTCTGCTCTGCTTGCTTGTTCAATCTCTTTTATATCTCAGAGGAGATTGACTTAAAATATATCCTATCCTGCCTCATTAACATAACAAAGACAACCTATTCCCAATTGGGATTATAACCACAGGCATAGACGTTAGGATTTACAACACATATTTTGGGGGTACATAATTCAGTCCATAACAGGGACGAATTATGTCAGCAGAAAAGGGCAACTAAACTGTCAATATGACTGAAATTGTTTTTTTCTTTTTTTAAAAAAAAGATGTTTTCCCCTGGTGAAAATATGACAAAGCAACTCATTAAAAAATTCATATTCTGAGGAGATTTATTCTAATAACTATGGTTATATAATACTGCTTTCAGTGAATACAGTTAAAAAATAAAATACAGAAAAAAATTAAACCCAACTTGATATTTGAAAATTGTTTTATTCCTTTTTAGTGTGTTGGACCAAGTTCCAGAAGGGCCAATATTTATTGCTGTGTGTTTTCTAGTGAGGGTGGCAGATGCGATAAGCTTTACTGGAGCGTTAACTGCTTCTTTTTCTATCCTCATAAAGGCTTTTCCAAATAATGTGGCTACAGTATTGATATGTATTTTATCAATTTTTCCTATTATGATTTTATTCTGGGCTAAAATATTTAACTTTCAAAACTAAAGCTGGGTTCCATTCTTCTGTACCTGCTTGTCCCTACTCTCTGTGCTTTTGTTAACTTTTGTCCTGATTTCTACTTCTAGCAGCAAAGCTGTCAGTACACGCACTGTTAGAGTTATATAGGTGTTCTCCCTGCACTTAGAATTTCCTGAATGAGACGTTTGCTAGGTAAGTGTGGTCCAAACCAAATATTCCTTTTTTTTTTTTAACTTCTCAGCAGTATTTTGCTTTCTCTCTGTAGCCTGGATTGTGGCCAAGATGCCTGAAGCATTCCTCTGCTTCAGAAGAGTTATCCCTAGTAGCAAAACTCTCCATTTATACCAGAACCTTTCCTCCACTCTTCCCAGGTTCACAGACAGGACCTTAGAGAGCATCTCAGGTCCTTAAGTGCCTCTGGGCTCACTGTCTGAGGATTGTCCTCTTATTTTGCCATAAAAATGCAGAACCTGGTGGCATCATATTGATGCACATTCTCGTATATTGCCTGGAAGCATGTAGGCCGGTATTAGTGACATACCAGATTCCTGTCCCAGCTCTGTGCTGCTGCCTCCTTGACCCTGAGCAGGCTTCCCATAGCTCTCTCCTCTGGGCTCCTTCATCACTGAAGAACCCATGGTCTGCATATCAGACCAAAGGCCACCCTCGTAGCATATACTCATTTTCTAGACCTAAGGATCTAATTAGCTTAGTGCCAGAGACTCCCCCATTTACCCATAGTAATACTATAGTTTGTAAGTTTTCTCTATCAGCACACTACTTGCTCCATAATAGTTCTTCTCACTTTTTGTTAAACATCTATGTATAGCTGGATGGATTCATTTTAGGTTCTGTAACCATTTGGCATGTAGTAGTAGCCTCCATGACAGGCAAACTGTTTATGTTTCCTGGAAATACCTTTCCCAAAGAAGGTTCGGTAGCACTTCAGTCCCTGAACATGTTCCATAAAACAAGGTTTTGTTGCTAGACATTTTTGGAGGGTATTGTATGCTGTCCCCCAACTTAGCGATGTCCAGTTCACATCAGTGTTTTAAAGCTTAGAGATGTCCACTTCACGTTAGTGTTTTAAGGCTCTGAGAAATCCTGCAGTAAAGATACCTTATTTAAGTTCTACATCTCAATTTGACCATGGAATTGCTTTTTACCAAGCAACACCTGTTGACCTCTTAAAGCACGTGTGTCTGTGGAACACTCTAGGAAGTGCCGCCCAAGAAGTTCCTATGATTGTTGGCAACCGTCCACTGGATTTTCTGATTGGGGGCGGGGGGAACCAGTGTTGGCATACCAAGTTTCTATATAAAATTGCCACCAAAAGCCAACACACCTGGCATCAACACACCTGACCTAGTAGTTGATCAGGATGGCCTTACAGTGATTAAATGTAGAAATCCCATGTTTTGTGAAGTGTTGAAAGCTAATAAACTACTGTGGTATCCTCTAGGAGGTCTGAGGATATAAGGTCGCAAGCCATGAGCCTGTTTAAAGCTCTAAAAACTAGATTTATTTAAAATGGTGTCATTTCTGTAGTCATTGTGTAATAGGAAACTCCCCCTCCCCTCAAGGCACTGTTTTACTTATTTTAACTTCAATTAACAATAACAATAAAATAATTTTATAGGTATGAAACTTAAAAGTTACAAAAGGGGATACAGGTAGTCCCCAGCTTACGACGTATTTGAGTTAAGACAAATTTCACTTATGACCGTCTGGGGTTTTTTTTTTTGTACATCTTCTCGTTAGTAATATGTACTACATACAGTGTTGCAGCACATACTTTGCTGATGTTATCATTCTCACATGTTCACTCACAAATGTTCAAAGATCGGATTTATAAAGATACTGATAATAAAAGGCAATAATACTGAAAACTAAAAAAAAAAAAAAGAGGTATTGTACATATCAGAACCAATTTACGGCAGAGTCGTCTGACTGGAAACCTGTCGTAAATTAGAGACTTCTTGAATAGTGAAAAGTTCCACGTCCACACCTGTTGCCCAGCCACCTAGTCCTCCTATTATACCTGCTGGAGGGCAACAGATAACAAATTTTTTCCAGAGAGAGTCCACGTATGTATGTACACACAGACGCAAGCACACATGAGAGAAAGCGTGAGAGCATGATTCTATTCCCTGCCTTATTTTCTTTACACAAATGGTAGCATACTATAAACAGTCTTCAGCACCTTGCTGGTTTCATTAACAATGGGTTTTAGAGATCTTTCTATACCTATATGTAAAGAACTTTCTTATTTTTTACTTCTCCTTAATGGCTGTGTAGTATTTCATAATATGGATATAATCTAGTTTATCTAAACAGTCCTCTGTTGATGGATATCTAGATTGTTTACATCTTTTGCTATTATAGTGTTGCAGTGCATAACTTTGTATGTATATCATGTCACATCTGTATGGCTGTATCTGTAAGTTAAATTCCTAGAAGGAACATTCTGGGTCAGAGGATATATGCAATTTGTAAGTTTGAGAGATGTTGCCAAGTTGCCCTCTGGTATTCACTCTACCGAAGGAGCCTTAGTGGTGCAGTGGTTAAGCACTCAGCTGCTAACTGAAAGGTGTGTGGTTTGAACCCACCAGTCGCTCCTTGGAAGAAAAGACTTAGCGATCTGCTCCTGTCAAGATTATAACCTAGGACACCCTAATGGGTAGTTCTACTCTGTCTTACAGGGTCTCTATACAACATTCACTCTATCAGAAATGTATGAAAGTGCCTGCTTTCCCGCATTCTGGGTAGCATGGAGTGTTGTTAGACTTTTTAATCATGTCAAGTTGATAGGTGAAAATCGAAATCTAGGAGTTTAACGTTTATTTCTCTTAAAAGTGAAAGCTTCTTTTTATGTCTAAAAATATTTTTCTTTCATTTTATGTGTCAGCAGTTTATTTATTATAACTTTTGCCCATTTACCTGTTGGGTTGTTAGTTTTTTTCTCACTGATTATTAGTATCTTTCTATATATTTGAAAAATTAATTTTTTGTCAGTATTTTTTCTCTGCTGGTCACTTGTCTTTTAACTTTGTTAGTGATGTATTTTGCCATCTATGGTTTTCTGTTTTTTTATATAATAAGATCTATCAATCTTTTTTTATGTCTTCTGAGTTTTATGTCATAATTAGAAAGACCTTTCCCATCATAAGAATTAAAAACTCCCGTATTTTCATTTTCTAGAACTTTTATGGTTTCAATATGTATGTTTAAATTTTTGGTGTATCTTTAATTAATTAATTACCTATTTATTTTGGTGTAAACTGTGAAGTGGATAGAATTTTTTTTTTCAGATAGACCCATTAAATATTTATTTGTTAATTCTTCAAATGAAATATATGAACTCAACTTTCTTCTGTTTTTCCATTTTTCGGGGAGTCTTGAGATTTTCTCTCAACTTGGTCTAGTGCTAGGGCCTCCTTTAGGTGGCTTTTTGTACCAATCTTTTGGCTATGAGTTGCCTTTTATTTTTCTGAGATGCATAGTTCTGCTAATGGTACCGCTCAACATGTATATGTTACCTAATTTTGGTAAGACCACACTTACTATTCATTTTAAGAATCATGAATTCAAGTATTTTTGTGCCTTTGTAGGAGACCAGTTTTCCATATAGGCACTTGTATTTTATAGAATCCGTAATAGAGTTTTAGAGTTCCCTTAAATAACTAATTATATTTTCAGAAATGTTGCTATAGGCAACGTTTATATGAATTTCTGTATATTTCAAATTCTTTTCAACCTTTAGGACTAGTAGGTATTTAATTTTTGACAATAAATCATTACCTTGCAGTGCCTACCAGAGGTCGTCTTGGACTTTATTAAACCTTCACAACCACACGTGGCCAAGGGCCACATATGGCACCAGTCCTCTTAGAAGGCTGTGAGACAGGAGGGCAGTGTCAAGTCTTTCTTCCCAGTGGTCCTTGCAGTTGTCCATGAGCACAGCCCAGGTGCAAGGACACAGGTCCACGTCAGGCAGCAATGGGAGTCACCCTTGGCTTCAAAGCTTCATGCCCTGTAGGTGTTACAAGAGGCAGCCCACTCAGCAAGGCACAAAACATGGTGTCCTTATCAGGTGCTTATGCTTCATTTATAGTTCTTCTGTCCATCTGCCATCAGGGGTTATTTTTATCATAAGCAATATTGCTTAGTAAGGGTAGTTGGCATTTTATCCTTACCAGGTTGCTAGGGCAACAGAGCTACAGAGTTAATGGAAGATCATTTTCATATGTAGCAGGAGAAAGAGTTCTGTTAACTCTTTACCACACCACGTAAGGAGAAAGGGCTTGCTGAGACCTAAAAACCAGTTGTCGTCCAGTCGATTCCAACTCATGGCAACCCCATGTGTGTCAGAGTAGAACAGTGCTCCATAGGGTTTTCAATGGCTGATTTTTTGGAAGTAGATTTCTAGGCCTTTCTTCTGAGGCACCTCTGGGTAGACTCAAACCTTCAACCTTTCCATCAGCAGCCACGCACATTAACACCCAGGGATTTAATTAATGGTAGGACATAATGTTTAGAACTTATGTGATTAGGTGCTTGTCTGGCCCAACATCTGAGATTCCTTGAGGCCTGGCCTGCTGGCCTCATCCTAGCCCCTCCCTACTTGGTTTCTTGCAGCCCCCTCCAGCTGCCCCCAACCTAGTTAGTTGGTACTCCTTGCTCTTCAATTCTGTTGTATCTCAATGAAAATGTCCCTGTTATCTTTATCAAACTTAACAGCATTACAGTTAACCATATTGTTATAAACAAAAGAGTTTGACAAATTTGCTGTTTTTCTACTGAAGGGTCTTTTACTGAGACTGAATGGAAAAAGAACGATATATTTTTAAAACCTCTAAATTAATAATAGTAAAGCTGTAAATATAGATTGAGGTGTTGTCATTAAGGAGTAGTTTTAAAAAAAAGATTTTAAAGAGCTTATAGATAGGAGCTAGAAAAATTAAACAAATTTTCTTTTGTTTTGTTAACATTGGCAGAATTTCGTATTTCACACATTCTACCTCACTCCTTTACTTCCTCTTAGACCTATAGACAGTCTGGCTAAGAGTCAACTTTGGTCCCTCGCTGTTCCTCATTCTTTAATCTGCTCAGTCACCAAGTTCCCTCTTCTATACTACTCCAAAGAAATATTTCTAAACATCATCATGAACAACCGCTTATTAAAATTCTTACGTTTATGACATGGGAACTTTATCCTGAAAGTCATTAGGGACTGTTTAAGCACAGGAGTTACATGATCTGGAATATCTTTTCCTTCCCCCACCCCCACTCTACCTAACCCCTACTAATCCTTCAAAACTTAATTTATATTACCTCTTCTGGGAAGTTTTCTTGATCATCAGACTGAATGTTGAGTAAGTAGTACTGCGGTGCTCAGCTTTTCCCTCCCCCTCACATCTTAGGGGTCCCTCGATTTCCCATCTCTATCAGTAGCTTGCTGTGGCAGAGACTGTCAGCTATGTAGACATGTCACTGTAAGAAGAATATATCAGAATTCCTGGAGAGCAGAGAGAGTAACTGAGTAGCTTGGAAAAGCTCCCCAGATGGTTCTGATATGTACCTTGAAGTACCCCCTTAAGTTTTCACTGCTTGGGCTTCTTCAAAGCTAAATTACGCTCTAATGTTCATTTTCATGGACATTGTTATATATCCTTATTGTGATAACCACTTTTCCCACCTTGGATTTTAGGGAAGGGGGCCATTCATGCCATAATGGTATGTCTTATACCATAAACCTGTAATACCTTTTATATGCACAAGTGTTTCTAATTAAAGCTTGACTGTTCTATAATTTATGTTTTAAAGGGGACTAATTACCATCTTGGAGTCCTTGGGTGGTACAAACATTTAACAAGCTTGGCTGCTAACTGCAAAGTTGGAGGTTGGAGCCTACCCAGACGTGCCTTGGAAGAAAGGCCTGGAAATCTACTTCCAAAAAAAATCAGCCACTGAAAACCCTATAGAGCACAGTTCTACTCTTGACACACATGGGGTTGCTACAAGTCAGAATCAATTCCACCACAGCTGTTAATTACCACCTTGAACTTCCAATTCAAAATTCACATTAAAAATTTTCTCCCTGCTTGCACTAACACATTGAGCCACATGGTGGCGTTTGTCTTCTTTCTAAGTGTAACTACATGCTGTTTCTGTAGTTGAGAATCTTGAACTGTGCTCAGATTTGGTTCACAGTTAAATAGTTGGCTGATAATTTAGAAACCTATCCCAAAGTTTAACTTTCTCCCTCAAGTCCTGATGAAGTCTAAATGCAGCACTTAAAATAGTTGAACTACTTTGTAACTTTTTTGTACCTGGCGCATACTCGATCATTATTCAACAAGTATTTATTGAATAATATATTCTGCTGGCTGCTATGGGAGAGATGGGGATGTACAAGTGCTGATCTCGGCCCTCTGTATTTGTTTTCTAGGGCCGCTCTAACAAAATACCACAAATTGGGTCAGAAATTTATTGTCTCACAATTCTGGAGGCTGAGAGTTTGAGGTCAGAGTGTTGGCTTTGTTGATTTCTTCTAAGGCTTTGAGGGAGAATGTGTTCCATGCCTCTCTCTGGCCTTCTGGTAGCTCTTGGCATTCTTTGGCTTCCAGCTGCTACATCATGTGGCGTCCTTCCTCTGTCTCTGTGTTTCTGTGTCTTCTTTTTTAAGGACAGCACTCAGATGAGATTAGGACCCATTCTACTCTGGTATGACTTTACATTACCTTAGCAGGTAACATAATCAAAGACCCTATTTCCAAACAGTGTCACATTCTAGGTACCAGGGATTAGGACTTCAGCATATCTTTTTTGGGGGATACAACACAATCCTCAACAACTTAAAAACTTGGCCAATATTATCTCTGGCCTGGGTCACTGCAACAGTCACCTGCCTGGTCTTCCTACATTCCATTCTGTACCTGGCAGCTGAGAGATCTTTCTAAACCGCAGATCTGATTCTCATTCCCTGCTTTAAATCCCTCATGATTTCTCAGACTTCTTAGCATATTTTACAAGGTCCCGCATAATCTGATCACTACATACTTCTGCAGTATGATCTCTCCCCATCACCCTGGCAACCCTTTCTCTGTGTCACCTTCCCACTTCTCTTTTTCATTTCCTCAAATACAGGACTTATTTCTGAGTCTTCGAATATGCCATTTCTGGAATAACATGCTTGGATTATTCTTTCTCCCACTTTACTTGTTCATCTCAAACTGATCCTTTAGGCCCCAGCTTAGATATCATTACTTTTGGAAAGCCTTTCATATGTAGAACTTCCTGGTTTTTTTTTTTTAACATAACCCTCACATATGCCCCAACAGGCATCTTCCTAGCCTCATCCTAGCTTTTTCACTCCTTTCTGCAACTTCTCTGCAAAGACAGGGTCTGGACTGTCTTCTTCACTTTCTGATGCCCGGTATTTGGCATGGTGGCTAGCTCAGCAAATATTTTGTTTATTAAATTAGTTAGAAGGTAGGAAAGTCATCAAATGATAGTAAGCAATATAAGGTGGTATATATATATATGTATATAATTTAGAAGCAAATATGGTGAGACTTCGTCTCACATACTTTGGACATGTTATCAGGAGGGATCAGCCCCTGGAGAAGGACATCATGCTTGGTAAAAAAGAGGAAGACCCTCAACAAGATGGACTGACACAGTGGCTGCAACAGGGGGCTCAAGCATAAGAACGATTGTGAGGATGGTGCAGGACTGGGCAGTGTTTTGTTCTGTTGTACATAGGGTCACTATGAGTCGGAACTGACTCGACGGCACCTAACAACAACAACAACATACAATTTAGGTGCTAAATTTTGTAGTACAGAATAGAAATGCAATAGGAAATGATAGAAAGGTAAGTTTTGTGGAAGAATTAGGGCCAGAGCCAGACCTTACAGAATGAATAGAATGTAGAAAATCAGCAATGCAAAAGTAAATGTCATACAGGACGGCAGGAGGCTCAGAAACAGCAATGCCTGGTGCTTGAAACAGTGAAGAGATTGCATAACTGCTGGGGGAATGTGGGAAGGTTGGCATTCACCTGACCTTGAATGTAAAGGTAGTTTACACATACTTCAGTGGTAGCCCCTTCAATCCAGTGTTTTCTTTGCCAGCAGGAAAAAAACAAAATGTGTTGTTAACTCATGTTCCTCCTTGGCACACACACACATTGTGCCTTGGTATAGCTTCTGGCAATGCCTTTCCCATGTGTCAAATCACACTTTACACATTCTCTGGTCTCATCTGGGGAAGGCTTTATTTACTGCTAGGTTATAACCTATAACCGAAGACAGCTGCTTCCCCTCACGCTCTAATTCTAGTTGGTTCTTTTTGAATTTGAGAAATTATTTTTAAGAACAGTGCATGTGTGTTCTGGATTTGCATAACAGATGCAAATGCAGATGATAATACAATTTTAGGCAAAGCTTAGAGGTGCAGTTATTTTCATTAGGAGATAAAGAAGGCCTTACTGATTTTAGCTTTCAAAGTTAAGAGATTTTAATTACTAAGATTTATTTATTTTTTCTCTTTTCATTTTTGCCTAAAAGAAGCTGGCCCAGGTGAATATTCATTCTGGAAACTCATCACTTAACCCAAGGTTGCCCTTATATCCTTTGTCATCAATTCACGCAGCTCAGGCTTTGGCTTCCTTGACCCTACTCTGTCTCTCTTTGTTCTGGAGAAGGCAAGTAGACTGAAGAACTCTGTGATGTAGCAGGTGGGCATAATTGCTTGCGCTTAGTCCCTGATCTGTGTAAGGGCCTCTGGGGTTGTGGGAAGGAGGCAGGATGGGAACTACACACCTAGATAGTCTGTACCTTTCCTCTGAGGCATCTAATTCAGTACAGATGAAAGAAGGCTTTTGCTAAGTGACCAAAACATTGGTCTCCTTGCTAAGACCTTGCCTGTGTCATTGGAGGTCTGGCTCAGCCACCATTTATGCTGCTTACCAAGGAGGCCTTTCCTCTATTTGTTTGAATTCCAGTGAAGTGTTTGGAGTCCTCCACACCTCATCTAATGTGAGGTGTCCTTCTTCATTACTTTTTAAACTACTCTGGGTCTACTTACTTTTTAAACTACTAGATATAATCTGATGACTCTGGACTATTAAATTTTTCTAGTACGGAATATCAATATTGATTTCTAGAAGTTTGATGCCATGGAAATTAGTTCTTAGATATTTTGGAAAAAGGATTATGATACATTAAAGTTTATGACTAAGTCTGGTAGTTTACCGGAGATTTAACATGTATCTAAAGAGTCAAAAATGTACTATCTGCAGCCCATACTAACTTTATTTTGAGGCACTGTAATTAAAACAGCAGTTACCTACACTGAAATCTCAATAAAGTTTCTAATATGGTGATATCAAATGGTTTATGAACATTGACTTATCGTATAATGTAAGGGTTAAAATTAATTTTTCTTATGATTTCATGCTATGCCTTAAAGTCACTAAAGACTTTAAATTAGGCCTGGAAATTGTAATTTTAGTGCCTGGCCCAAAGTTTAGAGAATAATATAATATCATGTTTAACCTGTGAGCATCTAGAAGATAACATATAAGAAAAATAATTTGTGTTTATGGTGATACATTCCGTTCACATCATCAACAAGTATCTCTTTAAGAGTCATATTTTGTGCTTTTTAAGAAGTTATGTCTAAACAATGAAAAAAAATCTGTAACTAATCTTTAGCAAACTCAGATTGCTCATATATATATATATACATATATATGTAAGAAATCTTTAGAAATTTATCATCCTCACTGTTTTTATACCAAATTATTTTATCTTGTTGCCGTTATTCAGCAGGTCTAATCAGTTTTGTTGATCTTATCAAGATTGGTTGCCCAATCTTTTAGATTAGGATGGTTCGATCCTGTCTCTCTCAAATTGTGAAATCAGACGAGGACATTTCTAACTTTTGTATCTTGCTACTGTTTTTAAAGGACTAATTTCTTAGCATGAGTTAATATTTGTCATAAAACTATTAAATTATATGTTGTTGATGTTAGGTGCCATCGAGCCGGTTCCGACTCATAGGGACCCTATGTATGGAAGAACAAAACACTGCCCGGTCCCACGCCATCCTCACCATCATTGTTATGCTTGAGCCCATTGTTGCAGCCACTGTGTCAGTCCATCTTGTTGAAGGTCTTCCTCTTTTTCACTGACCCTCTACTAAGCATGATGTCCTTCTCCAGGGACTGGTCCTTCCTGATAACATGTCCAAAGTATGTGAGACATAGTCTCACCATCCTTGCTTCTAAGGAGCATTCTGGTTGTACTTCTTCCAAGACAGATTTATTTGTTGTTTCAGCTGTCCATGGTATATTCAATATTCTTCTCCAACACCACAATTCAAAAGGGTCTTCTTCGGTCTTCCTTATTCATTATCCAGCTTTCACATGCATATGACACGATTGAAAACGCCATGGCTTGGGTCAGGCACACCTTAGTACTCAAGGTGACATCTTTGCTTTTTAAACTTTAAAGAGGTCTTTTGCAGCAGATTTGCCCAATGCAAGACGTCATTTGATTTCTTGACTTCTGTTTCCTTGGGGATTGATTGTGGATCCAAGTAAAATAAAATCCTTGACAACTTCAAAAAGAATTGGTCATTATCCAACATTTCAGGAGGTAGTATATGATCAAGAACCAATGCTACTGAAGGAAGAAGTCCAAGCTGCACGGAAGGCATTGGTGAAAAACAAGCCTCCAGGAATTGACGGAATACCAATTGAGATGTTTCAACAAACGAATGCAATGCTGGAAGCACTCACTTGCCTATGCCAAGAAATTTGAAAGACAGCTACCTGGCCAGTTGACTGGAAGAGATCCATATCTGTGCCCATTCCAAAGAAAGGTGATCCAACCGAATGTGAAAATTGTCCAACAATATCATTTAATATCACACACAAGTAAAATTTTTCTGAAGATAATTCAAAAACAATTGCAACAGTACATCGACAGGGAACTGCCAGAAATTGAAGCTGGATTTAGAACAGGACATGGAATGAGGGATATCATTGCTGATGTCAGATGGATGTTAGCTAAAAGCAGAGAATACCAGAAAGATGTTTACCTGAATTTTATTGACTATACAAAGGCATTCGAATGTGTGGATCATAACAAATTATGGATAACATTCCGAAGAATGGGAATTCCAGAACACTTAATTGTGCTCATGAGGAACCTGTACATAGACCAAGAGGCAGTGGTTCAAATGGAACAAGAGGATACTGCGTGGTTTAAAATCAGAAAAGATGTGCATCAGGGATGTATCCTTTCACCATACTTATTCAGTCTGTACGCTGAGCAAATAATCTGAGAAACTGGACCATATGAAGAAGAAAGGGGCATCGGGATTAGAGAAAGATTCATTAACAACCTGTGATATGCAGATGACACAACCTTGCTTGCTGAAAGTGAAGAGGACTTGGAGCACTTACTGGTGGAAATCAAAGACTATAGCCTTCAGTGTGTGTTATACCTCAACATAAAGAAAACATTAAATTATATACTGACTCATAAATAAATCATACGGGTATAATTTGGATTCCCTGGGTGGCACAAATGGTTAAGTGCTCGACTACTAGCCAAAAGGTTGGTGGTTCAAACCCACCCAGAGATGCCTCAGAAGAAAGGACTGCCCATCAGCTTCCAAAAAATCACAGCCTTGAAAACCTTATGGAGTGCAGTTCTACTCTGCACACATGGGATCTCCATGAGTCAGAGCTGAGTCGAGAGCAACTAACAACAGCAAAGTGGGTGTAATTAAGAAAATTAATTAAGGAAAATGAAAACAACTCAGATTACAAACAGGTATTTATATCATGTTGATAATAGTAACAGGATCAAAATTATGTGGTAGCTTTAAAAGCCCTTTAAAATTTGTCACCTAATTCCTTAATTAGATATTAATATCCCACTCAAATGGATAGATAGAGTCATCAGTGTTTTACACCAGTGTTGACTGAGGACTGTGGGCACTAACTTGGAGCTTGTCTGAAATGCAAATTCTTGGGCCCTATCCCAGACCTTCTGAATCCAAAACTCCAGGGCTGGGATCTAAGAATCTCTTTTAAGAAGCTCTTCCAGGTGGTTTGTATGCACACTAAAGGTTGAAAAAGGAGTTTTGGTGGTGCAATGGTTAAGCACTTGGCTGCTAACTGGAAAGGTCAATGGTTGGAACACAGCCTGGGGTCTCTGTGGGAGAAAAGACCTGGCGATCTGCTCCTGTAAAGATTACAGCATGGGAAACCCTACGGGCCAGCTGTACTCTGTCCAGTAGGATCTCTGTGAGTCAGAATTGACTTGAGAGCACATAACAGCAACAAAGTTTGAGAAACACAGGTTTACGCATAAAAGCGCTATGATTTAAAGACAAAAAATTGTATGTTTAATGTAAAATGGCACAAAGCAAAAAAACTAGGTGTTCTGACTTCTGATTAGTTTGTTGATTGTTTTTTTACATAGATAAAAAGCAAACCATTTACAAAAGCAATAAAAAGATAGGAAGAATGGTGATTTTTATTAGTAGATACATGGTCAATAACAAGGACTGGTGAAATGGTAGAAGGAAAAGATATATGTTTATATGGTGATGGAAACTTTGGCAATGGATATTGGTGATGTTTGCACAATATGATTGATCTCACTGAATTGTACGTGTGAAAAATGTTGTAATGGCCAATGTGTTAGCTATGTTTTTATAACAATAAAAAAAAGAATAATTAAAAAAAAAGGTAATTGTTTATTTTAAAAATGACTTGACCATGTCATTTCATTCATAATTTTTCTTTACAGTTTAGTTTGCCAGCTGGATATGTGGGACTGGTGTTCCTGGGTTTGGCCCTATGCTATGCTATTTCTTCACCAGTTTGGTCTACTAAGCAATAAAATGCCAGTATGTACGCTTAATATATATTTAAGAATTGCTTTTGTATGTTTAGACCAGTGGTTTTCTAACTGTACCTCCAAAACTATGGGTCCATTGATTGGAACTGACATATTATTTGAGTGACAGAGACGTTCTGACGTCTTCCAACGTGCATCACCCTGAGCAGATTCACTTTTAACTGCTTCATTTGGAGAAAGAGAAGTCTTTTGCTAAGAATGTTGGAAAATTATTGGATTAGACTTTTCTAAAGGAAGAAGTACCCTTGATGTAGATTTTACTGGGGGGAAAATGACATAGACTTTGAAATGAAGGCAGAGGCCCAGATGTAATTAGGGAAATTGATCAAAATGAGAGATTCTTCTTTAGGAGGAGGCAATTTAGGCTTTCTGTGGGAGTCAAAGGATTGGTCATGTAAATGTGCATTGGTTATTTCATAGAATCCACTACTGTCAAGTCGATTCCAACTTATAGCGACCCTGTAGGACAGAGTAGAGCTGCCGGTAAGGTTTCCAAGGCCCTAAATCTTTATAGAAGCAGACTGCCACATCTTTCTGCCATGGAGCAGCTGGTGGGTTCAAACAGCCAACCGTTTTGTTAGCATCCAAGCGCTTAACCACTGCACCACCAGGGCTCTTTTGGTTATTCCGTAAACCAAAAACCAAACCCATTGCCGCTGAGTCGATTCCGACTCATAGCGACCCTGTAGGACAGAGTAGAACTGCCCATAGGGTTTCTAAGGAGCAGCTGGTGGATTCGAACTGCTGACCTTTTGATTAGCAGCTGAGCTCTTAACCACTGCACCACCAGGGCTCCTGGTTATCCCATAGCCACCCTATTAGTAAATCTCCATGAAATTCAGGTACCCTATGTCCTATATCGTCATCCTGACAGAAAATCCCTTCTCTTTCCTTTGAGTCTTAAACCATCAGGTCTAGATGACTAGTATACAGAATCAGTACTGTTAGCAAAGTCTCAAACTTTTATGGCTTTATTGCTTATTTTTCATTTGATTTTCATATAAATGTAACAGTACTTGAATTTCATGGAGATTTACTAACTCCAGGTCATCAAAAGTAAATGCCTTAACAATGTTTAGAACTTGGTTTTCAGACATAGTCTTATGTAACTAAGCAGTTGTTATAACCCTGCAGTTGTTAACCTGCATTCAAGTAGTTTATAAGAAATAATTTTATTAATAGGGTGACTTGTCTAGAAATTATACCTGCTTGGTGGGTAGGTTTTTAAATGTGGAATTTGGTATTTAAATTTTGAATAGTTGATCATGTGCAAAATCTGCAATAAATACTCCTCCATTCCAAGAAATCTTTCTCCTTTGCTCACTTGCATCTTGCTGTAGAGTAGTTAATACCACACTACTCGGTCATTGCTTTTGAGTTTACCATCTCCTTATTTTCTCTCAAATGTGAAGTTTATTTTCTTCAATGTGTTTGGGTTTTTGAATAGCACAGTTTGTGTTCTTTAATGATTTTTTTATATTCTTTTGCAATGGTGAATTTTTACCTCTAAAAATTTCTTTGGGCTCCTGTTTCTCTTTATCAGCATCTAAGGAAATGGCTTCTGGTTTTTGGAAACTTAATCACAGCTGGGTGCTACATGCTCTTAGGACCTGTCCCAGTCCTGCACATTAAAAGGTGATTTTTTTTCTTCCTCTGTATTTTTGGACAAATAGCATTAAGAATTATTTTGTAAATTTTTGGTCTAATGATGGTTTGGCTTAGTATTTTGAGCCTTAATGCTAAATAATTACCTTCATTTAGGACTATATTGAGTTGTTTGTGAGACCGACAGTATTTTCCCTTACTAGAAGCTAGCAGTGGTGCAAGCAAACAGTAATGCATAAAATTGGTATCAGATGAGAAAAATGCTTATTCTGTGTGTCAATTTCATGTTTGTATTTTTTTTAAACAGCATATGTTGCTATCTACGTTTAGTTGATCATCCTTAGTACACACACACACACACACACACACACACACACACGCACACACACACAGATACATGGATTTTATTTTTCCCCTACTATTGCTCCTTGCTCCTTAAGGCAGTGACCAAATCTTTTTTTGTCTCGGTGTCATCCTTAGTATGCAGCTGGTATTTGTTAAAGCTTGTTTATTATATTTTGTTTACTAAAATAAAATAAGCTCCTTACACTTTTTCAGGTGCTTCTGGGATAAAGCATGATATCATGGAAAGAGCAGAGATCTCAAGATTCACTCAGACTTAACTAGCTATTGAACAAATCACGTAACTTCCAAGAACCTCCATTTTCTTAAATTTTTTTTTTCTTGTTTTATCTACAAAAATGAGTTGGTAATAATACATCCCAGGGTTGTTGCAAGGGCTGAATTTATGTAATGTATGTAGAGTAACTCCTTTACCCCTTCCCTTCATCTCAAATTTTAAATTTGTCGATTAGTTGAATATCAAAGCCAACCCAATGGAAGGAACAGCATTGGTATTGGCTTTTAAACCAACTTGGAAGGATTTTGTATGGTGAGAAGAAGGCAGCGTGTGATTTTCCCCCCAACATGTAAGGAGCTAAAAGGTGCTATAACTGAATAAAATGGGGTCAGATGGGAATGAGGACTATAAAGAAAATAAGTATTTTGATTACAAAATCACTCTTGAATTTTGTTAACAGATACGTCATCTCAGTGCTGTGTATCTGTTAGCATATCAGGAAGAGAACCAGTACCAACTCATGGTGGCCCCATATGTATCAGAGTAGAAATGCATTCCATAGGGTTTTCAATGGCTGATGCTTCTGAAGTAGATCACCAGGACTTTCTTCTGAGGAACCTCTGGGTGGACTTGAACTTCCAACCTTTTGGCTAGCAGCAGAGCGTGTTAACCATTTGCACCACCCAGGGGCTCTATCAGGAAGAGGCTAGTTATGTAATCAGTGAAACTAACTTCTCTAGGACTCTGCCCTATTTAGCATTAAGCTTTTATGTCTCTTAAACTGCTAATCTTTTTTTTTTTTCTCAACTCATGGAGTCAGCTCTGGCTGCTCATGCTTGTATTGGTTGTAAATGGCATCTCTGCTGGGATGAGTATAACTCCAGTTTTCCCGGAGATTCTCAGTTGTGCATAGTAAGTTATTTTTGGTGTTTGAAAAGCTGTCTGGTGAATAACAGTGAGCATCACAGGCTTTCTTGAATTTCTCACTTTTGTAGGGAAGACATCATATATTTTTCCTCCTCAATATTAAATATTCAGGATTTATATCACAGAATATTGTGATTTAAGTAGAATGAATAATAATACAATAATAATATATAGTAATAATACAGTAATAAGTAAAATGGGCTGTGAATAGAGGCTTGGCTTATGCTTTGGTGTATATATAATTTTTAAAAGTCAAAGCAAAATGGAAAGGCTTCAGCATTGTTCCTCTCTCATGGAGGAGATCCATAAAGTCATATAGAGTGACCACTTAGCCATCAGTCTTTTATTTAATAAGGCATTATGATGAAGAACGTGAACAAAGTAAGTCTGAGGAGGTAGAGTGTCTGTAGCTAGACAGTGTCCAATAAATCTCATAGGATTAAGGCTCTGTCTCTCTGTTTTCTACAAGTTGCCCATTGTTCTCCTTTATATGCATATCTTACTTTGAGGATTTCTTAATTATATATTTTTATGAGCATTTAATGGAAATGCGTCATGATTCTTAACATATATGTATGTGTGTTTATCTCTGCCTCTATACCCCAACCTATCCCTACCTGTTGCCATTGAGTCGATTCCCACTGAGCGACACTATAGGACAGAACAGAACTGCCTTATAGGGTTTGCAAGGAATGGGCTGGTGGATTCGAACTGCCAACCTTTTGATTTAGCAGCCAAGCTCTTAACCACTGCACCACCAGAGCTGTACTCTATACCTATACCTATATATATATCTATGTGTTATACATACAATCGAATTATTTTTAGAAAATCATGGTGTAAACATAATATGAAAAGTCCTTGAAATTAGATGAGCTTTTTATCTTAGAAATGAAGTGTTTCTGCTGTTGGTTTTGTCCATATCATCCCAGGTTTATCTCCATTTATTTGTCATACAACATTCTTTTCTTTCACATAGGTTTCCCTTTTAATAACAGATATACTCTTTTTTACAGTGAAAATGGATTTGAGGAAGGATCGAGTACTTTGGGACTTGTGTCAGGTCTCTTTGGTGCAATGTGGTCAGTTGGGCGAGTGGTCTTGAATTTCATTCAAACCTACAAGATGGAAAATACTATCCCCATTTTATAGAGGAAAAAACTGAGGTGCCAAGAGGTCAGATGAATTGCCCAAATTGTTCAACGAGGGCAGAGCTAGAGTTCTAATCCACACCCTCTGACTCCAAAATCAGTGATTATACAGCAGTTGTAGCATCTAATCAAAATTGTCTCGTATACACTATCTTAATTAAGTGATATTTTTAAGATCTTTCAGCAGGAGCATGTCTCAAAATTTTTATTCATGTATTCATTCGTTCATTTTTCACCCTCTGCTATACCAGGTTAACTGTATGCTGGCAATGTTGTTGTTATTAGTTGCTGTCAAGTCAATTCCAACTGATGGCGACCTCATGTGTGCAGGGTAAAACTGCACCCCATAGAATTTTCAAGGCTATGACCTTTCGGAAACAGATTACCAGGCCTGTCTTCTGAGGCGCCTCTGGGTGAGTTCGAACTGCCAACCTTTTGACTGGTAGTCTAGCGCTTAACTGTTTTTACCACCCAGGACTTCATGTTGGCAATGTAGTATATCTTTAATAAATATGGACTGAATTCAGTTATTTTAAATGTAAATGTTGAATAGAAGAAACTGTATTTCACATGGAGAAGAGTAGAGAGAGTAAGATAAAGATTGCTTTGAATGCATGTCATCTTTTATTTTTATATGAAACTCCAAAACCGAACTTGTTGCCATCGAGTCTGTTTCGACTCATAGCAACCCTATAGGACAGAGTAGAACTGCTCCATAGGGTTTCCAGGGAGCAGCTAATGGATTCAAACTGCCAACCTTTTAGCAGCCAAGCTCTCAACCACTTTGTCTCATAAGATACCATTTTTTTCTGAAGCAGTTGTAATTTTAGAATTGTTTTAAAAAAATTTTAAACTTTATTATTAACGGGTAGAATTTTTTTTCTTTTGCTCAACCTATGCTTACAAATTGGATTTTTTCTTTAGTACTTATAGTTCCAGTTTAATGAAGAGTTATGATTGAGAGATTATATAGCTTTTGAGAAGTAATTCTTTTTTGTGCTGTTTAACACTCTTCTTTTCTTTGTTAGTGCTTTTTTAGGACGTATACTGGGTGGATTTCTGTATGAAAAAATTGGTTTTGAGTGGGCAGCAGCTATACAAGGTCTTTTGCCTCTGACAAGTCTGAGTAACCAGTCTGTTAATTTTCTTTATATTTGTAGAGAAACTTACCTTACAGAAATTACATTAACCAGTACCTTTAATTATGTTAAAGGGATTAGCAATGGGCTTATATTATCTACTGGAACACTCAAGGAGAAGAAGGTATGATCAACTATTGGCTTTTTTTTCTCCTACTATGGGAGGAGAAGGAACCCTTGTGGTACAGTGGTTAAGTGTTTGACTGCTAACCAAAGGTCAGCGGTTCGAACCCACCAGCTGCTCCATGGGAGAAAGATGTGGCAGTCTGCTTCCATAAAGATTACAGCCTTGGAAACCCTATGGGGCAGTTCTCCTCTGTCCTGTTAAGTTGCTATGAGTTGGAATTGAGTCGAAAGCAATGGGCTTAGTTTGGTTTTTTGGTGGGAGTAGGAAAAACATGCTATTTTGCATCCATTCCTCCAGTCAGTGGATTTCTGGGCATTCTGAGCCTTATCACTTGGCAGACACTTTTAAAGAAATATTGGGTAGAGATGTAGGTATTGGGTATTTTTTTAAGATGAGAAATATTAAGATTCTTCTCTTCTTTCCCTCAATGTAGATCTGTATCTCAAGACATTCTTGGCATAGAGGAGGAACGAACTGTTCTCTTGCCTAATGAAATCTAATCTTGTGAATCCTGGATTGATACAGGGTTGGTAGATGGACCCTTCTGATGTTGAGCATCACAGCTGGGTTTTCTTAATCTTATGCACAAACTCCATGGATTCTACACTAGTATCACCCAAGTGTCAACACTAGGTATACCTTGGGCTGCACTTACTGTTGTCTTGAAAAGCTGGCCTACTGAACCAGTCATATTGAAACATTAAGTATAAGAAGAGCAACTGAAAACCAGAAAATGTTTGTGTTAAGAGGCCAAACGTGCCCTTGAAGATGTTGTTATTGACTCTACTTAGGTACTTCTTCTGCTTTTTATTCTAAGTGCACTGATTCTGTGAGTGTATCATTTTTTTAAACAGGGAAAGAAGTGAATTGATTTGCTATACTTCAAATATAAAAATATGACTCAAAATATATAAAATAATTCATATGAAATAGTTTTTAAAAGATACACATTTTCTGTTTCCTGAAATTTATTTTCTTGTTCAAAAGGCAAAATTCCTGCATGCCATGCAGAAACTGTATAGCATTCATTCCGTGGCACTCAGCTCTTCTAAAAATTGTGTTTGTGTGAAAGGTGCAAGAATAGCATTACTTATAACTTCCATTTTTGTAACATATTTCAGTTATGATCTGGATTTATAAACATCTTATGGTTTAACATTATTTATTTCCCTTAATGTCTCTATGTTTCACTTGTAGCATCTTTTTTTTTTCTTCTTCTTCTTACTTTTGATATGTGTGTCCCATTCTTAAAACAGGTGACCCTGTGTGAATGCTTATAAGTTAGGGAAGGTGTTCCCCTGCCTTCATGTAAAAATCACATTGTTGTTTGAAGTGAGTGAGTCTATTATACAACTCTTATACATCCACATCCATTTTTTATGGCGTGGTAGAAATATTTACCTTTTTTTTTCTTAAGAAGAAACAGTTTGAAATATGTATTCAAAAGTATTTGTGTGCCTGGACTGGCACTGTGCGAGGTGCTAGGGATTTAGCTCTGATCAAGATTAAATACAATCTCTGCCTTCAAGTAATTTGTATTCCAGTGGAAGAAACAAATACATACTCAAATTTCTAATTTTCTTACTATGAAAAAAAAAAAAACAAGGGGATATGATAGAGTAACTGGCTGGGATGGGTTAGGGGTGGGGGACGAATTTATATAAGGCATCACTGTGGAGGTCGAACTTTTGAGCTGAGATTGGAAGGATGACAATGAGGCAGCCATTTATTTATTCTGAGATGAGAACAGCCCACAGCATGCGCAAAAGAGATTGGCCTGGTCAAAGATGAGAAGGATGGTGTCCCATGTGACTGGAGTCTAGTAAACAGGGGAGGTTGGGAGGTGAGGAGGAGCCAGAGTTTAAAGGAGGGATGCAAGAGTTTGATTGATGTTTCAGAAGGTTCACGATGTCTACATGTTTGGTTTTGGAGTTTCATATAAGAATAAAAGATGACATGCATTCAAAGCAGTCTTTATATTACTCTCTCTACTCTTCTCCATGTGAAATAGTTTCTTCTATTCAGCACTTGCATTTAAAATAACTGAATTCAGTCATATTTATTAAAGATATACTGCATTGCCAACATGAAGTCCCTGGGTGGTAAAAACAGTTAAGCGCTAGACCATAGCCAAAAGGTTGGCAGTTCGAACCCCCCTAGAGGCGCCTCAGAAGACAGGCCTGGTAATCTGTTTCCGAAAGGTCATAGCCTTGAAAACTCTATGGGGCGCAGTTTTACTCTGCACACGTGAAGTCGCTATCAGCTGGAATTGACCTGACGGCAACTAACAACAGCATTGCCAGCATACAGCTGTGGCTGACAGACTGGAGTTGCCGCTGCTGCCGCTAGGGGCCGCCATCAAAGCAGTCGGGGTTCCGCCGCCAGCTCTCACCAGGCGGCTGTGGCCTGGCTTACACCGCTGCAAACCCTACGTCTATGAATCCCTCCATACGTCCACCTGTTACATCTCCATCACGACTGACTGTTGAGAGTTGAAGTGAACTCAGACACTCCAGGCTCTCTGATGAGAGAACTTTGTTACCAACCCAGACACCCTGCTGTTGTGACAACACATGCCACCAGGGGCGGATTAGCCAATAGGCAAGGTAAGCATGATGCTTACCTTGCTTACCAGATCATCTGTAGTGAACAATTTCACGTTCAAAGATGTGGTGAAGCCCACTTAAAATTGTTCACTACAGATTAGTAAGTAAACACAAAGAAGTCCTTGCTTAGCTTGCTTACTGGATCATCCACCCTGTCAGGTATTGTAAATGTGAAGAGGCTTTGATTCTGTAGGAAGGTGCTGTGGGGTTGGAAGAGAGACAGATGCCAGCCATACCTAGAAGCAGAATATTTGATGTGGTGAAAAAATGTGAAATTGTTCACTACAGATGACCTGGTAAGCACCATGCTTACCTTGTCTATTGGATAATCCGTCCCTGTATGCCACAGATACACATATTTAAAGACACATAGTAAAGAAACTCACTTTACCCCTTCCTCATTTTATGATTTTGCAAGTATTAAAATAAATGACTACAAAGTTTAAAGATATGAGCTATTATAGAGGAAATAACTCTTTGAACAATAAAACCAAAAAGTAGGTTAAAACTACCAAAATAAATATGTATGCTTATTTTTTATATATTTATATTTTTCTAAATGTAACAATGGGGTCCAGCTTAAAAAGTAACCATTTAAAAAATGAGAATTAATGTTTTATGGAGCAGAATGTGGACTATAATAATAATAATAGGTATTTTTTATGCTAAGATTATATGGCAACCTATACACATGGAGAGGAGCCTTGGTGGCAAAGTGGTTAAAAGCTCGGCCGCTAGCCGAAAGGTCGGTGGTTCGAACCCACCAGCCACTCTGGGAGAAAGATGTGGCAGTCCATTTCTGTAAAGATTATAGCCTAGGAAACCGTGTGGGGCAGTTCTACTCTGTCCTACAGGGTTCCTATGAGTTGGAATAGACTTGCCGGGAATGGGATACACATATAATATGATAATACAATTTAATCCAAAGGAAAAATAAAAAAGACAAAAAAAATTACACAGGTTTTTTTTTTTTTTATTGAACTGTTTATCTAGAGATAATTGTAGAGTCACATGCAGTTGTAAAATATAATACAAAGAGATCAGTGTGTGCCCTTTACCCAGTGTCGCCCAAATGGTACTATTTTGTAGAACTATTGTACAATATTTAACCAGGATATCGACACAGTTAAGGTACAGTCAGGTAGAATATTTGCATTACCGCATCCCACATGTTGCCCTTTTATAGAAAGACTTCTCTCCCACCCTCACACCCACCTTAAACTTTGGCAACCATTGATCTTTACTGATCTTTTCTCTGATTCCCTAAATTTATTATTTTAAGGATGTTATATAAATGGAATCATACGATATGTAACCTTTTGGGATTGACTTTTTTCACTCAGCATAATGCCCTTGAGACTCATTCAAGTTGTTGTATGTATCCGTAGTTTATTTCTTTGTATGGCTGAGTAGTATTCCACAGTACGGATCTACCACAGTTTAACTATTCACTGTTGCTTCCAGCTTTGGGCTGTTACAGATAAATATATGTTACAAATACTATGAACATTTGTCGACAGGTTTTTGTGTAAACGTAAGTCTTCATTTCTCTGGGATGAATGCCCAGGAGTACAATTGCTGGGTTGTATGGTAGTTGCATTGTTAGTTTTTTAAGAAACTGCCAAACTGTTTTCCAGAGTGGCTGTACCATTTCACATTCACATCAACGATGTATGAGTGGCCAGTTTCTCATCAAGGTATTTTTTTTTGTTTAGTCTTGTTTGTTTGTTTTGTTTTGTTTTTAGTGAGATTAAAAAAAAAAAAACAAACAGAAAGATGCATGAACTAGGTGGAGAAATATTGAGTGAAAGCTGTTGATTAAAGCGAGAACTATGGTATAGCAGCTGGAGGGAGAGGGAGGAAGCCATCAAGATTAGCTAGTAGAAAAGGGATTTAAATGAATAATTCCAAGAGAAGCCATTCAGGTCCGATTGACCTGGAAGAGAGGAAACACGAAAGACTTTGGGGGAGAGAGAGAGAACAAGGAGAAAATAGAATAGTCCAGAACGGGTGAGCTTCTGACCAGGTAAAATGAAAGACCTGAGTCAAGGCTGCACTGGGCATTGCTCTCTCAACAGGACTGCCATCTGTGGGAATGAGGCAATAGCAATAATAGTAGCAAGGATTATTATTCAAAGCATATGGTATGCTGGGTGCTTTTATATCATCATTTTCCAAATGAGGAAAACTGAGGCACTGAGAGGTTAAATAATTTGTTGATAGTCATACTACTGGGAAGTAGTTCAAAACTAGGTATTTTGGCTTCAGAGTCCAAGGCCTTAGTCATTACCCAATACTGCCTCTTATAACTATTATTATTGTTGTTAGTTGCTGTCAAGTCAGTTCCAACTGATGGCAACCCCATGTGTGCAGAGTATAACTGCTCCACAGAGTTTTCAAGGCTGTGACCTTTCAGAAGCAGATCTCCAGGGCTCTCTTCCAAAATGCCTCTTTGAGGGTTTAAACCACCAACCTTTTGGCTAGTGGTCTACTGCTTAACCCTTTGTATCACATAGCCATCTCATAACTATAGTTATAAAATTCATATTGCATAAATTAACAATAACTAGATTTGGTACCATACATAATTTAGTTATTCCACCTTGAGGAAAGGTCTAGAGTTGGGCCTGTGTTCCAGAAAAGGAGTAATGTGATAAAGAGAAAAATATGACGTTAAGAGTTAATTTAGGCCTCCGGCTGGTGAATATCCAGGTCTATTGTTCTGCTACATCTCCTACTGAATTTGGTCACTGTTCAGTAGAAATCATATAATTTCACCTGGCACATGTCACCTGGTCCCTATGTTTGCTTGAAGAAAACCCCAGAACTCACAGTTGCTAGGGTAGGATAAAACAGATTCTTCTCCCAGTGCCTGACTAAGGATTCAGAGTCCTCTGGCCAGCTGCTGCTGAGATTGCTCCTTGGCCCACCCCATCCTCCCAGAGGGTGGGCCCAGAAAGTGAAACTAAAACAAAGTCTGGCCAGACCAGACTGGGGGAGCACAGACCCTGGAAAGGAGAATGCAAATGAGATCCAGAGGAGTGGAGAGCTTCATCTTGACAGAAGCTGTAAGTAGTTTCCTTAGACCTCAAACATGCATTTTTACCTCCTTCTTCATTGAAATTGAACAAGGTGAATTATTGGTGAATTATTGTGGTGTCATATAGCTTGACAAAATGATACATGTGCCAAAACCAGACACTTTTCTATTTTTAATCTGTGTTTTCATTTTTTCTCTGTGTGTGCCTGACGGAAACCCTGGTAGTGTAGTGGTGAAGTGCTACGGCTGCTACCCAAAAGGTTGGCAGTTTGAATCCACCAGGCTCTCCTTGGAAACTCTATGCGGCAGTTCTACTCTGTCCTATAGGGTTGCTATGAGTTGGAATTGACTCAGTGGCAATGGGTTTG